TGGTCTTCAGCAACCCAGGCTTGTCGTAAGGGGCGACTAACGGGATCGCGTGGTCAGGCTCGCGGACTTGGTTGACACAATGTCATGTCATCGTATACCAGTTGTGTAGATCGATGCTCATGCTGTTGATCACTGGATTGTCTGGTCCAGAATCGATTATTTACAGAAAACCTCCATATAGCTGGAATGTTGCCGAGTGTAGCGTTAAACAACCAACGAACCAACTAAAAGTCATGCATATTTTGTTACATTGAGAAGATTATTTCAATCAATGAGCTTATCAACCTAAGCTCCGATTTACTCTAGCTTGGTTTTCTTATAAGAAACTGAAATGTGTGATGAAATGTGATAATTGGTGTAAAATAATAAGTATATGAGATTGTTAGAGGTTGAACAAGCCTATGTCCGCATTGAAGGATAAACAAGACCATCTAGGTCAAAAACATCTACCCCGTTTTTATTCGTAAAATATTTCCTCAGTGATTATCTCGGACTAGCTTGCATGCCAGTTACCAGAGGACGGGTACCAATCCAGCTGGGCGCCCACGAATGTAGCAGAGTTACGGCGAGACCCCATGGTGACCCTATATTAGTAGCGATCGGTTGTATCATTCCGATGCTGTATGGTTCCTTAAGGACGTGTTGATAAAGTCCATCAGTAGGATCGACTGTGTCTCAGGAGTGTGCTACTTGTTGGCTGTATGAATTGCCCAGATATAAATTGTGTTCGCTGTATCCCATGTAATCTTCAATAGTCCTTATGTTTGACCCATGAAGATCAGGGTTAGAATTAATTTTCAGTAACCCATGCATGTAAGAGACCACAGGATCGGCAGGTCAGACTCGCTGACCTGGTTGACACATCATCGTATCCCAATTGCGTAGATTGATGCTCATGCTATTGATCTCTGGTCCAGACTCATTTATTTACAGACCGCAGCCATATAGCTGGAATATTGCTAAGTGCAGCATAAAACTAAACTCACTCCTTGTGTTTGCTAGTGAATACTTGTTTTGCTCCATATCCAGGACAAAGAAGTACATTAAAGGGGTTTACAATCAGTAAACCAACGACGTGTATCCTGGTGGATTGAATTTGGGTTAATTGTATTAGTAACTGAATATTGTTTTATCAATTTTGATTTACTTGCAAATGTCCTGAAATAGCACACAGTAATCTCCTACCAGGGCCCACTTGTGCAAAACAGCAAGTTTAAGCTGCAACTAGTATTAATAATCTGATGCCAAATGACATTCAAACAGTTCATGTTTCTCAGCTGGTCACACTTGTGCTTGCAAATTGCATTTCACCAATTGAAAGTATAGTGTCGAATGTATACAGCAAAATTATCCAAGGACGGCCCTACATATTGGGCACTTCAGTGCGCCATAGGGACTCTGAAGATTATATTGTTTCGATTAAACAAATATTAACTTCTACCCATTCTGTGTCTCAACACAAACACCATCACCCGCTGGATATTTCAAAGATGTCAAACCTCGCATACACGTTTAGTATTGTCAGTTCCAAGCCCAACTGTCATTCGTAATTCACCTACTATCATCTAGACTGATTCATCCTTTAGCAATAATTTTGAAATCTCAAAATCCCCACCAAATGTTTCAAGTGTATCTGACAAGGGCCATATAAATTGTCTCAATCTGGTTCAGTAGATGCAGCGATTGATAGTGTGAGGTAAGAAGTAGTGTCTTCAGCTGCTACAATAAATGATTCCACAAATCCAGACTCAAAGTTCCATATAGTCAGCTAAGATAAACCATTTAAACTGTAAAGTGGGCACAAAACAAATGCTACTTGTCTCAAGACTAAATGAAGATTGGTTCAAAGGAACCACTAACAATTCATCCAAAAATAAATATGGAAGTCAAAAGGAAAGCATGCAGTCAATGCATGTGTAATGTTTCACACAAAAATATTCTTACGAGGCAGGGACAGATGGGTTAAAAAAAAAGGGGGAAAGAGACAAAGAGCCCAAAATGATGGTGCCTTCATTAGATTTTTGTCAGGTTGATGGACACTGCAACGCCCTCTAGACACTAACACTAAATGATGAGCACATATTTCTAATAAAATAATTGCTGCATTCATAGTTCAATCACATGAGCGCAAGTGAGCGAGTGAATATGGTTTTACCCCCCCTTTAGCAATATTCCAGCAATACCACGGTGGGGGCCACCAGAAGTGTTTTTTACACACTGTACCCTTGTGGGGAATCGAACCGGATCTTCGGCGTGACAAGTCAACGCTTTAACCACTAGCCATCACATGAGAACTGTAAACACCTGTTGCACACACCTACCGAAACAATTTCTTTTGTAATAGGGTTTGACTTATCAACAAAAATGTGTTCATGTTACTGTGGGTGTTTTGAAGGCTATTTTCAAACCATGTAAATTTTGGTAAACTGACAGGTAATTAATTAAAAATAAAAACCCCATTTATCCCCCATTAATCCATACTGCAATCAAACTGTCATTCACTTTGCAACAAGTATTGTTAACTGTATAGACAAAGAACAGTCTCCAATAATCAACCTCTCTGATGCCACAATCTGGTATGAGTTTACCGCCACTTGTGAGTAAAAGAAACCAATACACACCTGGGGCAGAAGTGGGTTATAGTATAATACTGAACTTGTTTGTTCCAAGTCGCTGATACAATCACTGCAGCGTAAACTCCTACATTCACTTACACCAGTCACAATCAGTTTAGTGATTAGGGAACCCCAAAGCCAGGAATTTGACATATTTACTTCTCAGAATTTCCAACATAATCATAAACCAATCAATTTCAGGGACAGGAGTAATATGTCAAAAGCATAATTAAAATGTATTTAATGAATCATGAATTTTAAAAAATTACTGAAATTCCATCTGTTTTCTACTTCTGGCCACAGATAAATTTCACCAATCATACGTAAACAATATGAAATTATTAGAATGCTTGATTTCAACTCCTTCAGTCTTTATTAAGGGGATTCCTCTCATCCCGATAACCACCTGTCTGGGCCATGAATGCTTGCTGATACAAACCATCCATACAGTGACTGAGACATGTGCTAGGAACTCCTTGGGGCTGCAAATTTCCTGAATCAGCTGTAGTCTACAACACAGTGTTGGTTTGATGGTGAGCTATGGTGAGCTACTTCTAGCATCAAACTGATGAAATGTTAAAGTCAATATGCTGGCCTTGTCTGTGCTAAAAATATATGAAGGCTGTGAATTTTCTGTTGATTTGGAGGTCACAACACATGTCCATTCACCTATCCATGCGTTACTCTTCCTTCCTTCCATCCATCCATCCATCATCCATCCATCCATCATCCACTCAGTAACGCCCTTGGTAGTAACCTCCTTGCCCATCCTGTGACTGGTAGAAGTCACTGTAATTGTTTCTGGCACCAGTTAGGGCTGGAAATAGTAGCACACATTTAGTTGGTCAGAAAAGAAAACATTCACACAGATGTTAACACTAACATAGCTGAACAAAATGCTGACCATTTGTACCCATTATAAGGTTAATTTGGATCAAAATTCTCAACTCTGAATTTAGCGTCAGATTCAAGTTTCTATACTGAAAACAAAAGAAATTTGAAAAGCGCACAACACACCAAATTCAAGGAAAAATAAAGAATTTCCTTCAAGGGGGGAGAAAGTCCATACCAGCTGACACAACCTAAGTTCATAAACTTTGACGCAATTATCTATTTCATACTCATGTTAGGATTATCTTGCTCCTACTTTGTGTGTGAAGTGCTGTTCAATCAGTAGGAGTTGGAGACTCTGTTGTATAACAATATGAAACAGTGAGCACCCAAATGCATTTACAAGTTTTGTCAATACTTGAAACATGCTGAACCCTGCTTAAATCCTTCAGCTCTCTCTCGGAAATATCACCTACTGTTAGTTACATTGTTCACTGCTATAAATGTGGTGTTTGTGAGCATGCAGTTCTTGGGACATTTGGAAGTCATCCTTGTCATGTGTATTTGCTACTGCAACAAGTTTTGTTTCCTTAAAGACCTGAAGTCACTGTCTCCCATTACATCATGCCATGATAATCATATCACACGCCTCAATGATCAAGTTTGTCTGATCCTTGACAAGGGAAAGACATAGATATTTCCACAAATTGGTTGGAAACCGTGGAAATGCAGGGTTTGAAAGGGCTGACCGGATGTGATTCATAAACAGCCCAAATGGCTTTCCAGTCCAGAGAATATCTCGAAAGATTTCAATCCTTAACCTGTTGCCCAGGTCTACTGATTGAGGGAAAGTGGGTTGGAGAAAATGTAGGGAATAGGTTTCACAGCTGACATCTAAAGCAGTATACTGCTATTCAAACTGAAAAGTCAGTAATGGGTAGGTTTCATCACAGACCAGCAGGGAGTTCACTTATGTGTCTGTGTTCAATTGAAACATCTACTGTTCAAACAATAAAACATTCCACTTTTTTGTCAACAGCACTATCTCAACAGACCAGGATTGCCAATATGGCACCATCACACATATTCATTCATTCCAGTACTTCACATATACTGGTCAGAACTATCACAGTGGTGGTTATTTATGAAATAGTGTTTACAGTTTGACTGTTTCTCTCAGTGGGATGAAGTATGGCAGGTGTCAACTGATGTGACACACGGGTTGTGTACACACACACAAACCACTTCTCAACACATCCACTGTAACCCGCCTCCATTCTCAGACACATTCACCATGGCCACAATGCTTCCTTCTCCAGCTACTTCCTCCAGCCAGCCAGCCTTCTTCCCTTCAGCAATCGGACAGACAGCCACATCTGTTTCCACACAATCTTAAACTGTCAGGCTCATCACTTTCCCATCACAGCACCATTCTTGTTCTGCTCACAAGCTTTCTAAACAGTTGGAGCTAGCTACTGTGACAGGAATATATATGGCTCCTGGGTAAACGTTCCTTGATCAATCAACACTCAAACACAAAACACAACACATAGCCAAGGTGTATATCTTTCAATAGCATTGTCACTCAAAACAAACCAAATCAAACAATGTATTTGACACATTCCACATATCTAAAATATCATTCCACTCAATCATATTGGGAAATGTCATTCATCACCTGCAAAACATCATCTCTCAAAATGCTTCATTCTCGGTTGACAATATCTTCCATTCAACCATATTCTGACAGTTCAGTGATCAATGTTAACAAATCTTAAACACAATGACGTGAAACAAGCAGATTGGTCTTCTCAAGTAACACTTTCGTACATGCAATACAATCTATGATGTATGTAGGCAAACGTGATATATTTCCCAATAATCCCACTGTATTCTTTGTGGAACACAAACTGAGCCCAATAGGAAATGTGTCTGTTTTAAACTGTTACAAAGCCCAAACAAGGTTGATTAATAAACAATGCAAATTTAGTCAATTTGAATACTGCATGTTGTGACAAATATGAAAGTATGATAAGCCATGTTAACACCTACTCCTGCAGGTGCGACACCTGTGAATGATATGACCATTAAAATGACATGAGACTTGACAGGTTACAACACAGATTACACTGAGACATAGGCTACACTGTGATGGTGACAGTCTGCTAGGAAGCTGTATGTACATGATGATCTACTCTCACTGCTTGATGTAACACTGGTGCATATCAATGTATGTGCTGTGTCTAGGACTGAGCTTTGCCTCCCAAACATCTCCTCACACAGCTCATTCTCCCCGACGCTCCCTTCAAGCAATTTAAATATGCTCCATACATGCACAAAAACTTTCAAATTCACTATGACAATACACAACATGATTTGCAACTGTTACAAAGGCCATCTAACAACAAGCAACGAGTACTACAAATACCAATTGAATTTCGTAATAGTTTTTTTCAGAAATGAAGTAAACTTTCAAGCTTTTCAAAAATTTAACACATTATTTGCAACTGTTTGCCGAATGTTCAAGAAATCAATGTTGTTTGGTAAGAAAACATACTCTTGTAATAATATATGGTTAATTGTTGAGAGGAGGAATTCAAGATCTTAAAAATTAACCACAAAAAGGGGAGATATGTTCCATGATGGAAACCCATTCGATTAAATCTCTAGAACCAACAGCATTAGTATGTGCATCGTCATAATCACCACTCACACAGCACTGCTACTCTATAAGCAGTTCAGGAAGACAGTGCCTCTACTGTTCAATAAGAGCATCATACAAACTCTCAACTCATCCTCACTACCAATGTGGTGCCCTGCCTGTCCTCCACATCACAGCTGCTGTCTCACACGCTTCTCTCCATAACTTCACCAGAGCAACTGTTTCCAACAACCCACCACGCAACAGCATAGCAGTAGTCACTTAACATACATAGGTGGATATATTCTCAAAACTAGGCCACATCCCAGGTGGATATTCACTGCGATATTACACGCAAACTTTGAATTTCTGACAGATATTCTGAATTTGGTTAACAGAACTCAACAGTTTGGACAATTATCTTCAACTACAATTTTTACTGGTCAACATGAGGATTCAGAAATGTACAGGCGTTTGTAGGCTGAATGACCACTGCTATACTATTCATTCACTCCATTCAGCTCCACCCCCCTGACCTCCCCCCACTGCCGTGAGTTCCCCATCCCCCATACTGCCCTTGGCTTGTGGAACTGTGGCTCTGTCCATCACTATGTGGGCCACCCCATCCTAAGAAGTTGCTTGCACTGCCCTGTCCTCCACCCCCAGTTCCACCAATATTCCCAAAGGGTTGACTATTGTTGTTCTGATTCTGTGAAGTGTCCCCATTTCCACCTCCACCCCCACCTCCTGCCTGTCCTGCCAGTCCCAGGGGCCCCCACTGACCCTGCCCACTTAACACAGCTTGGGCAGCTGCCATCATAGCACTGTTAAGAAGATTCATTCCAATGTTGTTAGCAACTTGGTTATCTACCCCTTGACCCATGCTTTGATTGTTCTGCTTACCAATATTATTATGATGGGAAGGGGAAGGGCGAGGCCCAGGGCTCCATCCACCCTGATTGCCAAAGCCTTGGCTGTAACCTTGGTTGTACCCCCCACCTCCACCTTTGCGATCCCCATGGCGATCCATATTCTTGGGCGCAGCGCTGCTGACATGGACACTGGTGCCATCTATCACATGGTCTTCACCACAGAGGGTCTGGGCTACCTCAGGATTAGCGAATGTTACGAAAGCAAAGGCTCTGAAAGGCTTGGGAATGAAGACATCCACAACTTCACCAAACTTGCCGAAGTAGTTTCGCAAGTTTTCAGCTGTCAGGTTTTCTGTACATCTCCCAACAAAGACTTTCCTGTTCATTAGCTGCTGGGCACCTTCCTGCAATGACAAGCAGATGAAGTCTTTCCTTAGTCTCAGATTGTCAAAATCGTACGAACAAATTCAGCTTAGAAGTTAATAATCTGTCAGTTCAGGGTATACAGCTCAATGCACAGATTGACATCTGGTACTGAAACAAATAGTCACTGTCAACAAAATGCAAAATCATTAGTTATTGGACAAAAAAACTATATTCTCTCTATAACAAATTACATTGTGCTGATGTTCTACATTGTGAGCTATATGTCCAAGATGACATTTGTCTGTCGATTTCAACATATCCCTGAATAATCACTGTTAGTATATAAGCACAGGTAAAGAGTGTATCAGCAGCCGAACTTATCCACTGTTGCTGAGGATAATCAAAAATCATATGTGACAATCTACTTTATAAACTGTCTGGACAACTAGCTGCCAAATACTTCATTGTGAACTAACACTTTAATAATTGTACACATGGAAATGACAGCTATCTGTTATTTGGAAACTGAATGATTTTTTAAATTATGTAGGACAAAAATGTCATCAGCAACCTTGGCTCCAGTTAAAATTATTCATTTTTAAATTTTAAAGCCTTGCAATGCTCCAGATACACCCATATCCAAAATATTTCCTCTACTACACAACTTGCCTGCAGCACTGACAAGTAAAGGTATGCTTTTCACTGGCATTACTCTAAGACCTTGCATTGAACAATCAGATTTTAGACAGTAACAAGTAATGATGAGAGTGTTAGGTATTGTATGCACATGTATTCAATAGGTTGACATTTACAAACTGTCAATATTTGCACTAAGATGATACAGCAACTATCTTGAGCACTGAGAACACACGCTTGTTTCGTTTGTGGTTTAAAACTGCACACTGCAATATTCCAGCTGTAAAGATGTTCTGTCCAGAGTAATTGAGTCTGGACCAGACAATCCAGTGATCAACAGCATGAGCATCGATCTATGCAATTTGGATACAATAACATGTGTCAACCAGGTAGTAAGCCTAACCACGCAATCTTCATGGGCATGTTAAGTAATTACGTAACGGAAAGACTTCCGCCTGTATCCCCCCTTAATTTTCATTCTAGTCGAATCCTATCACCTGAATATATATTCCTCTACTGATAAGGATGAGTTTTAACGTGTTTTGTTAATTGTATCTGAACATACTGAAAGACATATTCTACTTAGAGCATGTCCCTGGGTGATGTGGATGAGGCGCTATAAAAGTACTCTTATTATTATTATTATTATTACTTCTAAAAATGCCACTCAAAGAACTTTTTCCTCATCATCAAAAATTAGGGGGGATACGGACGGAAGTCTTGCCCAGAAATTTACATATGAATCATTGTTGAGAGTTCTTTATCTCACCTAATCCCCTCTACCCCCTGTGTTTATTTTCAATGCATCCATCGGCAAGCAGTTTACAACACTTTCCATATGCATCAAAGAAGTTTATTTTTAATTTCACATTAGAATGTATTTTATCTCAAGTAGGGATAATATCACTGTAACTTCATTACATTTAATAAATGGAAAAAAGTTACCGATCTGATGCATGTCAAACACCAAAGAGACATTCCATCAATATCTTACCCATGTTTCACCAATAACAAACAAAAGTCCAGAAGAATGAATACAACAGGCAATTTTAGAAGTTAAAAACAAGTACAATACTACAAAATACACAGAAACCAAACTTCTTTTTTTCATAAGCATTCTCTCAGTGCAAACTAAGGCACATTATCACACCTCGACATGGCATACTTTTCCTTCAGACAATAGACAATTACCTTTGAGTTGGGTATGGTGACATCACACCATCTTCCATCTATCATGTGACGTTGGGACATGCACTTCACTTGAGCTGAATGTTCCACAAATCGAATGAAACCAAATCCTTTGGACTGACCGGTTTTAATGTCTCTCTTAACCTTGAAAAGGGAAAACAAGATTTGTTACAAGTACAATTTGACTGGTTCTGCCCAATAAGGCAAATATAATGGAGTGAATATAAGATAGTGCTAAATGTTGGCACCATCAATATGTTCATGAAGGAAGTACAGAACTTGGTTATGAAAAACAAATTTAGATACTGATTAGCTCCATACTAAATATCTACAAAACCAGCTACATTACCTGCACCAACAGCAGTTCTCCAAACTGGGCAAAATATTTCTTCAGGTCATCTTCTGTACTTTTCCATGGCAGACCAAGGACTATGAGATCTGTGCTGCATGGAGCTGTGTCAATTCGCTTTGTCTTGGCTGCTGGGTTCTCCTGGCCCTCTTCACCCTTCCTTTTGTTTTCGGCTAACATAAACATACACAATGAAGATCAATCACCAGAATACGGAAATTGCACCATATATCATAGTCAGCATCAATAAACAACAGAAAACAATATACATAACTAAAAAAACCCTTTTTATCTCAAACATCAGCAATGTTGGCTAATGGCTTCATTGCAATATTTTTTTCCCAAATGGTGAAATGACCAAGTAGATGCAATTAAGGATTTTATTCTGTCTTGATAATATAACGGATACAATTTCTAGAAAGTAGCTGATGATCAATTGCATTTTGAACAATCTCTAAACATCACACGCGGAGACAGCGCCAAAGAAAACAAGCGAATGGCTCTCGTCGCAGTCACGCCATGTTCTATTGTTGGGATTGCCGGCATGGCTTCCCTAACAAAATGCGAGGTCAATCAAAAAAATTTTAATGTAGGGAATGCAATCACATTTATATAGAGAGCATACCTTTTGGAAACACTGAAACGTAGACATGGGAATCCCATAAACCATCTGGGGGGTGCAGGCGCCCATCAACAAGGCGGATACCACGATAAGCGCCGGTTTCAGGATTGCGATATTTCATTCCACATGCTCCTGGAAACTGGGCAGAAAGCGTCGTCAATAACAGGGTACCATCATCTTCACTTGGAATTTCAATTGGTTCTTCGTTCTCCTCCTCTGTAACCTGAATATATTGGCTCATCCTCGTCTGTTTTCCTTGCTTCTGAACTCGTGCAGAAATGAATAAAGAAACAAAGTAATGCAGTACAACACTTCCGTGCTGGACGAATCTAATATGGCGTCGCGTGTTTATAATTCGGTAAAGTCCGGCGTTTTCCGGCGCTCGGCTTCGACCTCGGAAGTGCAACTTCGTCACCGATCGCGTAAGAACGCGAGAACGGCTAAAAATAGCTCACGAATACCGAAAATTTTATCATGTGATGTGAAAGATGTATACATTGTACGTCAACACCAATGAGACAGAGAGTATTTGTAATAAAGAGGATTACTGTTAATCATTAGACACAGAAAATCACTTGTTCTGAAAAGACCTATCAACATCACACACAGGTTGGAGACAACAATTAGAACAGCCAGAAAGGGCGCAGAGTTTAGTTTTGTGCTTATATGGGGTTCATTCACAATTTTCGTAGTGAAACAGTTTCAATACAGATCTGCCGAAGAAGAAATGCTATATTAATTTGCCTATATTTCTGCCACGGATGACCTCATGCTCATACAAGTGCAGCACCGCAAATTATCCCCTGAAAAACAGACACAAAACACTTCCTATGGTGTCGTGAAATGTACTCAGATTTCAGCTATATAACAAGCGAACCACTCATCACTCCCTGGTTTAATTAGTATGTTTTATCGACAATTTCTATCTATTATGTTAATAATATTCTGACAGTTAATATGAGTCGAGTCATCCCAGAAAACAGTTTATTGCAATATCAATAACTTCAGTCCACAAATATTATAATAAATGAAGTACCACCCGTTTATAAATATTATGTTTATGTTGCTATTTCCACGATTAATGTGGGCTTTTCTGCATTTTTCTGCACAGTGCAAAGTTTTCCTTGGTAGGCCATGCCTGTCTTTGTCGCTTTCAAACCAACCAATCACAAGGCAGATGCTTGATGGGCATTAGAGTCACGCGCTCATCAGTAGCCCATAATGTTACTGTCGAAATATGCCGATTTCACCCGAGCGGGGTACCATTCCGAAGTTTGCCGAGGCAGTCATGGAAGGGAGCTAATCCTTCCAACACAGGCTTCCTCATGACAACCCACGTGTGACAAGACAACCGATCTGGAAACTGTTTACATGTGTACAGAATGTCTGACAGTACATTTGCACGTAACCAACTCCTAAAACATGGATGGACAGAAGGTAACAGTAGACTCGATCCAGACGAACAATTATTTCTTGCTATTCAGCAGATATGTCAACAGATGCAGCACTGATATATCTTCAGTTCAAATAGTAAAGGGAGCAATCATTTGATTTTCAGGGAAGGCCGTGATCCTTTCAGACAAAATAATCAAGTCCCCATTCATATCAATATATGTACACATGCCACGTATAGGAAGCAAATGAAAGGGTGCTTTCCGACAAGTATGTCCTAAGAATATGTTTAGCGTTATCAGAGACCATATACTAGATCGATCTGTTATATATATCGTCTCTGAAACCCCAATACTAATAGATCTATTATGTCATATATGGGTAAGAGTTCCTCCTGTTCCCCCATCCAAAATAATATTTATAAATTGATATATACTAAAATTATTAACAAAACCTAACACAACAATTACTAGAGAACTCACAAAAATAACTCAAAGCCCAAAAATAATTACAATATGTAGGGTCGACGTTGTGTTACCTCTGTTAATCTGCGGAAAAAAATATGGAGGAATGGAAGGAACTCCCCAGAGCACTTGTTTGTGTTGAAATCCTGAGCAGCTCAACAACCCCTGAATATTAAATTCTTGCTTACTCATTACATGTGGATGACTTGTTGAAACAAGGTTTATTTGTATCACATGAGGACAGATCGAGCTGACGAACCCTTCTGAACTTCATGGACATTTAACGCTACATGTGCTGTACATGCAAAGAATCACAGCCAATTACCTGGCCTGCAAATCTTTAATGTGAACATGGGATAAGCAGTACAAGCTTAAAGGAAGTATACTGCTTTGAAAAGAAAGTGACACAATGTAGGTACAGCAATCAGGAGACCAGGGATTGTTACTTGTTACAATACAGGTACAACAATCACAACACCAGGGATTGTTACTTGTTACAATACAGGTACAACAATCAGGAGACCAGGGATTGTTCCATGTTACAATACAGGTACAACAATCAGGAGACCAGGGATTGTTACTTGTTACAATACAGGTACAACAATCACAACACCAGGGATTGTTACTTGTTACAATACAGATACAACAATCACAACACCAGGGATTGTTACTTGTTACAATACAGGTACAACAATCACAACACCAGGGATTGTTACTTGTTACAATACAGATACAACAATCACAACACCAGGGATTGTTACTTGTTACAATACAGGTACAACAATCAGGAGACCAGGGATTGTTCCTTGTTACAATACAGGTACAGCAATCACAACACCAGGGATTGTTACTTGTTACAATACAGGTACAACAATCAGGAGACCAGGCAGGGCTCGATTTAAGAGATGTTAACCTACTTGCACCAGGGGCAACCTAAGATAAAGACCTAGTTGCACCAGCCAAATTCCAGTTGCAACGTAGTGTGTTAAAATGTTTCGGTGCACATAAACCTTAATCAGTGATGTAGCACCCATGAAACCATAGCAACACTCAGACACAGCTGATCCCTGTTTACAAGAGCTGTCATAGCCGAGACGTGTTGATGAATAGCAATGTTTCATTGGCATAGCTATTCAAAGTTTAGAAGAAACATGGGCTGGCATATTTATGCATATGTTAGATTTATTGTTGATTTATTTCTCAACAATTCACTTACACCTTGTGCAAGATAGACTCATAGCTAGGTTGTATTTTGTAATATTGGGTTGCACCAGTGCAAGTAACAAAGCACTAAATCGAGCCCTGCCAGGGATTGTTACTTGTTACAATACAGGTACAACAATCACAACACCAGGGATTGTTCCCTGTTACAATACAGGTACAGCAATCAGGAGACCAGGGATTGTTCCTTGTTACAAAGGGGCAGTGGGGTAGCCTAGTAGTTAAAGCTGTTCACGCTGAATACCTGGTCTCGATTTCCCACATGGGTACAATGTGTGGAGCACATTTCTGGTGTCCCCCGCCGTGATATTGCTGGACTATTGCTAAAAGCCACTCACTCACTCCGTGTTACAATGCAGGTACATAGTAGCAATTTACTGTCATGCCAGTCATTGTAGTTGTTACAAATCCTACAAAGCACATTATCCTTTTGTTATGTTTTCAGACTTGTTGTCTCAGAGAGAAATGACCAAATGTCAAGTGGTCAGAATGCCAGTAGTTATTTGTGAAACTGCGATAGTCTGTTATGACCAACTATTTTCTCCTTAAATTGTCTCATTTGAAGCAATGTAGGTATAGTTTATATACTGAAAGCCATTAGAAACCCAATTGGTATTTGTTGTCCTGGAACTTACAAAAGGTCTATTGAAGATTTTTTCCTGCGATACAGGGGATGTAGTGATAAAAGGCTGTTATTCTGACCTATTTCGAGATCAGGTCCCAGAGCATTCGTCTCACATGAACTTTGAAACTTAAAACTGAACCTTTGACATTTCTCGTAAACACAACCGCATTCATGAAACATGTGCACATGCATTACCTGCACCCAGGCCCTTTAAAAGCACAAGGAATTGCGAAACTCAATCACTTTGAGAAAATGCCAAGCTTGACACAAGACAAAAGGGATCAGGCTATCGGTATGGTTAGCCAGTGCTTCAGATGTGATGCTTGCCAGACACTTTAATGTGCATCCATCCACTGTTGGTCGACTCAGAGAACGTTTTTGGGGCACCGGAAGTGTTGCTGATCATCCGCTACCTGGTGCACCACCTGTGATGACAGCTCGACAGGACCGCAATATCCAAGTTTCACATTTGCGAAATCGGTTCCAAACAGCTGCTGATACGGCAAGGAGGAACATTTGGACAAGACAACATCATGTCAGCGCCCAAACGGTGCGAAGACGCCTTGCTGCTTTCAACATCCGGTATCGTCACCGTACCATGATCCAACCTTATTGCTTCACCACAGACTTGCCAGACAGCGATGGTCAGCTAATGGGCTAATCTTGGCAGCAGGCCATGGCGAGATGTCATTTTATTCATATGAATCCAGGTTTAACGTATCCTTTGCAGATGGACGTCAACTGATTTATCGACGTCGAGGAGAAAGACTTGAGCCAAAGTGTGTCCATGAACATGATCGTTTTTGAGGGGGGTGGTGTCATGATCTGGTGTGCTATCAATGCCAACTGTCGATCCCAGATGGTAGTGGTTAACGGCAATCTGCATACTCAACGTTATGTGGACAATATCCTTCATCCGTCTGTACTCACAATGATGGATCAACAGGGCAGTCGTAACCATTTTGTGTTTCAGCATGATAATGCACGTCCCCATGCAGCCAGGGTAACAAGGGACTTATTGAATAATGAGAATGTTCGTGTGATGGACTGACCTTCATTGTCCCCAGACATGAACCCAGTCGAGCATCTGTGGGATGAACTTAGACCGCGACTTCGAAATTAACTTGTGCCACAAAGGACAGTTGCTGAATTGACACAGGCCCTTCAACATCACTGGCAGACCATCTCACAGCTGTTCCTGAGAAATTTGTGTCTTTCAATGCCCAGGAGACTGCGAGCATATCTTGGAGCGCATGGTGGACACGCACGATATTGACTGCAAGTGACCCCTCCTTTGTTTGATGTCGTTGCATCACTGATGTTGTTATTTGGACGTTTTCCGATGAAATTATCCACAGATAATCACTTAAACATATCTGCCAGTTACATTTATATATGTTCACATTTGTGAGAGTAAAGAAAGTACGAATGTCAAGTTGCGTTTGTAATGGCTTTCAGTATATGAAGTAATAACGAGTTGAAGTAGTTTTAATAACTGACAAGAAACTTGAAATCCAGATCAAGTAAACAGGTAAAACATAAACCTATTGTTATTCACAGTGGCAAACTCAGAGTCGCTTGCCACAATGTTAGGTAACAGGGGCGGATAACTCTAAATCAAACGTCTCTGGTACTTCCTGTTTTTTGTGCTGCGCATTTATCAACAGAATTCAATTACTAAACTATCAATAGTCACAAATACTATTGATGCATCGATAGTTTTTCGTTTCTACCATCAATTAATTGCTATCGGAGACTCAACAATTGCAATCCATTGATAGTTTGATGCATCATTACAGCACTAGAAACTGATGCTGCCATGTGTTTACAGGATCTGGCCTCGGTCGGGAGGAAAGTGGGATGACGAAGGCCATCAAGGTCCACATAAAGAACAACAAAACAGGGGTGGGTTGAATGACAAGTGAGTGGATGTTAGTGAACACCAACACCATCAACCTAGGACCGTGTGTTAAACATGAAGTCACACGTGTCTATGAAGACCTGTACCCCATTTCAATATGCTCTTTGACATGCTTCATGTACTGGGGAGCTTTTCTGAACTGATCTGAACACTAGGAGTGAACACCCATGAAGATCGGGGTTAGAATTGGTCTTCAGCATCCGATGCTTGTCATAAGAGGCGATTAACAGAATTGGGTGGTCAGACTCACTGACTTGGTTGACACGTCATCACATCCCAACTGCGATCAATGCTCATGCTGTTGATCACTGGATTGTCAGGTAAAGACTCGATTGTTTACAGACCACCGCCATATAGCTGGGAGTGAACTTAAAGTTGTGAGTCAATGCTGTTCTAACATGTATGCATAAAACTTTGGTGGTATTATATTCCTGTTGCTTGGGGCTCATCACGCCGAAGGCCCGGGTTCGAATCCCCACATGGGTACAATGTGTGAAGCCCATTTCTGGTGTTCCGCCGTGATGTTGCTGGAATATTGCTAAAAGCGGCGTAAAACCAAACTCAGTCAGTCAGTCCTGTTGCTTTGGCTCCGAATAAACAGTCTTATCAAACTTGTGATAAAGATTCTGTGTACTCTGTAAACCTCTCTGTTCTATATCATATAGTCTTCATAAATCAGGCTCATCGTAGGTATGTCACACAACCTTGACATCTGTCTATCCAGGTTGGCCACGACCCAGGAGCAGAGTTCACTCACCACTGGTGGGATCATGTGTTCAACAAAACAGCCAAGGCCATAAAAGTTGGGGCTGACCAGGTACGTGAATTTGAGGCCAGTAGGGTCTGACCAGGTATGTGAACCTGAGGCCAGTAGGGTCTGACCAGGTATGTGAACCTGAGGCCAGTAGGTTCTGACCAGGTATGTGAACCTGAGGCCAGTAGGGTCTGACCAGGTATGTGAACCTGAGGCCAGTAGGGTCTGACCAGGTATGTGAACCTGAGGCCAAGGGCTGACCAGGTATGTGAACCTGAGGCCAGTAGGGTCTGACCAGGTATGTGAACCTGAGGCCAGTAGGGGCTGACCAGGTATGTGAACCTGAGGCCAGTAGGGTCTGACCAGGTATGTGAACCTGAGGCCAGTAGGGGCTGACCAGGTATGTGAACCTGAGGCCAGTAGGGGCTGACCAGGTATGTGAACCTGAGACCAGTAGGGTCTGACCAGGTATGTGAACTTGAGGCCAGTAGAGGGTGACCAGGTATGTGAACCTGAGGCCAGTAGGGGCTGACCAGGTATGTGAACCTGAGGCCAGTAGGGTCTGACCTGGTATGTGAACCTGAGGCCATCAGGGTCTGACCAGGTACGTGAACCTGAGGCCAGTAGGGTCTGACCAGGTATGTGAACCTGAGGCCATCAGGGTCTGACCAGGTATCGTCAACCTGAGGCCAGTAGGGGCTGACCAGGTATGTGAACTTGAGGCCAGTAGGGTCTGACCAGGTATGTGAACCTGAGGCCAGTAGGGGCTGACCAGGTATGTGAACCTGAGGCCAGTAGAGACTGACCAGGTATGTGAACCTGAGGCCAGTAGGGGCTGACCAGGTATGTGAACTTGAGGCCAGTAGGGGCTGACCAGGTATGTCAACCTGAGGCCATCAGGGTCTGACCAGGTACGTCAACCTGAGGCCAGTAGGGTCTGACCAGGTATGTGAACCTGAGGCCAGTAGGGGCTGACCAGGTATGTGAACCTGAGGCCAGTAGGGGCTGACCAGGTATGTGAACCTGAGACTTGTGTTTCAGAATGGTGAGGTGACATTATATGTGTGTGTGTGTGTTTCAGAATGGTGAGGTGACACTATATGTGTGTGTATCTGTGTTTCAGAATGGTGAGGTGATGCTATGTGTATCTGTGTTTCAGAATGGTGAGGTGATCCTATGTGTATCTGTGTTTCAGAATGGTGAGGTGACACTATGTGTGTGTGTGTTTCAGAATGGTGAGGTGATGCTATGTGTGTGTGTGTTTCAGAATGGTGAGGTGACACTATGTGTGTGTGTGTTTCAGAATGGTGAGGTGATGCTATGTGTATGTGTGTTTCAGAATGGTGAGGTGATGCTATGTGTATCTGTGTTTCAGAATGGTGAGGTGATGCTATGTGTATCTGTGTTTCAGAATGGTGAGGTGATGCTTTGTGTATCTGTGTTTCAGAATGGTGAGGTGATGCTATGTGTATGTGTGTTTCAGAATGGTGAGGTGACACTATGTGTGTGTGTGTTTCAGAATGGTGAGATGATACAAAGTGTATCTGTGTTTCAGAATGGTGAGGTGATGCTATGTGTATCTGTGTTTCAGAATGGTGAGGTGATGCTATGTGTATCTGTGTTTCAGAATGGTGAGGTGATGCTATGTGTATCTGTGTTTCAGAATGGTGAGGTGATGGTATGTGTATCTGTGTTTCAGAATGGTGAGGTGATGCTATGTGTGTGTGTTTCAGAATGGTGAGGTGATGCTATGTGTGTGTGTGTGTTTCAGAATGGTGAGGTGACACTATATGTGTGTGTGTGTGTGTTTCGGAATGGTGAGGTGACACTATGTGTGTGTGTGTTTCAGAATGGTGAGGTGATGCTATGTGTATCTGTGTTTCAGAATGGTGAGGTGATGCTATGTGTGTGTGTGTTTCAGAATGGTGAGGTGACACTATGTGTGTGTGTTCAGAATGGTGAGGTGACACTATGTGTGTGTGTTTCAGAATGGTGAGGTGACACTATGTGTGTGTGTGTTTCAGAATGGTGAGGTGACACTATGTGTGTGTGTGTTTCAGAATGGTGAGGTGATGCTATGTGTATGTGTGTTTCAGAATGGTGAGGTGACACTATGTGTGTGTGTGTTTCAGAATGGTGAGGTGACACTATGTGTGTGTGTGTTTCAGAATGGTGAGGTGATGCTATGTGTGTGTGTGTTTCAGAATGGTGAGGTGACACTATGTGTGTGTGTGTTTCAGAATGGTGAGGTGATGCTATGTGTATCTGTGTTTCAGAATGGTGAGGTGATGCTATGTGTATCTGTGTTTCAGAATGGTGAGATGACACTATGTGTGTTTCAGAATGGTGAGGTGATGCTATGTGTATGTGTGTTTCAGAATGGTGAGGTGACACTGTGTGTGTGTGTTTCAGAATGGTGAGGTGACACTATGTGTGTGTGTTTCAGAATGGTGAGGTGACACTATGTGTGTGTGTGTTTCAGAATGGTGAGGTGATGCTATGTGTATGTGTGTTTCAGAATGGTGAGGTGACACTGTGTGTGTGTGTTTCAGAATGGTGAGGTGACACTATGTGTATGTGTTTCAGAATGGTGAGGTGACACTGTGTGTGTGTGTGTTTCAGAATGGTGAGGTGATGCTATGTGTGTGTGTTTCAGAATGGTGAGGTGACACTATGTGTGTGTGTGTTTCAGAATGGTGAGGTGATGCTTTGTGTATGTGTGTTTCAGAATGGTGAGGTGACACTATGTGTGTGTGTGTTTCAGAATGGTGAGGTGATGCTTTGTGTATGTGTCTTTCAGAATGGTGAGGTGATCCTATGTGTATCTGTGTTTCAGAATGGTGAGGTGACACTATGTGTGTGTGTGTTTCAGAATGGTGAGGTGACACTGTGTGTGTGTGTTTCAGAATGGTGAGGTGACACTATGTGTGTGTGTGTTTCAGAATGGTGAGGTGATGCTTTGTGTATCTGTGTTTCAGAATGGTGAGGTGATGCTATGTGTATGTGTGTTTCAGAATGGTGAGGTGACACTATGTGTGTGTGCATTTCAGAATGGTGAGGTGATACAAAGTGTATCTGTGTTTCAGAATGGTGAGGTGATGCTATGTGTATCTGTGTTTCAGAATGGTGAGGTGATGCTATGTGTATCTGTGTTTCAGAATGGTGAGGTGATGCTATGTGTATCTGTGTTTCAGAATGGTGAGGTGACTCTCAGCAAGAAGTCTCCAGACAGCAAGGAGGAGAAGAAGGCCAAGAAGAAGATGGTACTGTATGGGAACTTTGTCAAGGTAGGAACATATGTATTCCACAGAAACTCTTCTAGTCATGATTTCAGGGCCATGGATCTTTATGTGTGCTGTAGGGTGTTACACTGAAGTCATGCATCTGTTGATGTGTTGTAGGGTGTTACACTGAAGTCATGCATCAGTTGATGTGTTGTAGGGTGTTACACTGAAGTCATGCATCTGTTGATGTGTTGTAGGGTGTTACACTGAAGTCATGCATCTGTTGATGTGTTGTAGGGTGTTACACTGAAGTCATGCATCTGTTGGTGTGTTGTAGGGTGCTACACTGAAGTCATGCATCTGTTGGTGTGTTGTAGGGTGCTACGCTGAAGTCATGCATCTGTTGATGTGTTGTAGGGTGTTACGCTGAAGTCATGCATCTGTTGGTGTGTTGTTGGGTGCTATGCTGAAGTCATGCATCTGTTGGTGTGTTGTAGGGTGCTACACCGAAGTCATGCATCTGTTGATGTGTTGTAGGGTGTTACACTGAAGTCATGCATCTGTTGATGTGTTGTAGAGTGTCACGCTGAAGTCATGCATCTGTTGGTGTGTTGTAGGTTGCTACGCTGAAGTCATGCATCTGTTGATGTGTTTTTGGGTGCTATGCTGAAGTCATGCATCTGTCGATGTGTTGTAGGGTGTTACGCTGAAGTCATGCATCTGTTGATGTGCTGTAGGTTGCTACACTGAAGTCATGCATCTGTTGATGTATTGTAGAGTGTTACGCTGAAGTCATGCATCTGTTGGTGTGTTGTAGGTTGCTACGCTGAAGTCATGCATCTGTTGATGTGTTTTTGGGTGCTATGCTGAAGTCATGCATCTGTCGATGTGTTGTAGGGTGTTACGCTGAAGTCATGCATCCTGTTGGTGTTTTGTAGGGTGCTATGCTGAAGTCATGCATCTGTTGATGTGTTTTGGGTGCTATGCTGAAGTCATGCATCTGTTGATGTGTTGTAGGGTGCTACACTGAAGTCATGCATCTGTTGATGTGTTGTAGGGTGCTACACTGAAGTCATGCATCTGTTGGTGTGTTGTAGGGTGTTACACTGAAGTCATGCATCTGTTGATGTGTTGTAGAGTGTTACGCTGAAGTCATGCATCTGTTGATGTGTTGTAGGGTGTTACACTGAAGTCATGCATCTGTTGATGTGTTGTAGAGTGTTACGCTGAAGTCATGCATCTGTTGGTGTGTTGTAGGTTGCTACGCTGAAGTCATGCATCTGTTGATGTGTTTTTGGGTGCTATGCTGAAGTCATGCATCTGTCGATGTGTTGTAGGGTGTTACGCTGAAGTCATGCATCTGTTGGTGTTTTGTAGGGTGCTATGCTGAAGTCATGCATCTGTTGATGTGTTTTTGGGTGCTATGCTGAAGTCATGCATCTGTTGATGTGTTGTAGGGTGCTACACTGAAGTCATGCATCTGTTGATGTGTTGTAGGGTGCTACACTGAAGTCATGCATCTGTTGGTGTGTTGTAGGGTGCTACACTGAAGTCATGCATCTGTTGGTGTGTTGTAGGGTGCTACGCTGAAGTCATGCATCTGTTGATGTGTTGTAGGGTGTTACGCTGAAGTCATGCATCTGTTGGTGTGTTGTTGGGTGCTATGCTGAAGTCATGCATCTGTTGGTGTGTTGTAGGGTGTTACGCTGAAGTCATGCATCTGTTGATGTGTTGTAGGGTGTTACGCTGAAGTCATGCATCTGTTGGTGTGTTGTAGGGTGCTACACTGAAGTCATGCATCTGTTGGTGTGTTGTAAGGTGTTACGCTGAAGTCATGCATCTGTTGATGTGTTGTAGGGTGTTACGCTGAAGTCATGCATCTGTTGATGTGTTGTTGGGTGCTATGCTGAAGTCATGCATCTGTTGGTGTGTTGTAGGGTGTTACGCTGAAGTCATGCATCTGTTGATGTGTTGTAGGGTGTTACGCTGAAGTCATGCATCTGTTGGTGTGTTGTACGGTGCTACGCTGAAGTCATGCATCTGTTGGTGTGTTGTAGGGTGTTACGCTGAAGTCATGCATCTGTTGGTGTTTTGTAGGGTGCTATGCTGAAGTCATGCATCTGTTGGTGTGTTGTACGGTGCTACGCTGAAGTCATGCATCTGTTGGTGTGTTGTAGGGTGTTACGCTGAAGTCATGCATCTGTTGGTGTTTTGTAGGGTGCTACGCTGAAGCAGGAGGAAGGTCGGCATGTGGAGGAGAAGGAAGGCAGCAGCAGCAGTGAGTCAGAGGAGGAGACAGTATACAAGTAATACTGAGTCCTAGCATGTAGAAATATATGTTCTGTGTGTATATATGGTTCCATATGTTACCAAAGGTGATATATCACCTTTGTCAAGGTTGTATGTAGTGATATGTCACCTTTGTCCAGGCTATATGTAGTGATATGTCACCTTTGTCCAGGCTATATGTAGTGATAGGTCACCTCTGTCGAGGCTATATGTAGTGATATGTCACCTTTGTCCAGGCTATATGTAGTGATATGTCACCTTTGTCCAGGCTATATGTAGTGATAGGTCACCTTTGTCCAGGCTATATGTAGTGATAGGTCACCTCTGTCGAGGCTATATGTAGTGATATGTCACCTTTGTCCAGGCTATATGTAGTGATATGTCACCTTTGTCCAGGCTATATGTAGTGATATGTCACCTTTGTCCAGGCTATATGTAGTGATATGTCACCTTTGTCCAGGCTATATGTAGTGATAGGTCACCCTATTGTCCAGGCTATATGTAGTGATATGTCACCTTTGTCCAGGCTATATGTAGTGATATGTCACCTTTGTCCAGGCTATATGTAGTGATATGTCACCTTTGTCCAGGCTATATGTAGTGATAGGTCACCTTTGTCCAGGCTATATGTAGTGATATGTCACCTTTGTCCAGGCTATATGTAGTGATATGTCACCTTTGTCCAGGCTATATGTAGTGATATGTCACCTTTGTCCAGGCTATATGTAGTGATATGTCACCTTTGTCCAGGCTATATGTAGTGATATGTCACCTTTGTCCAGGCTATATGTAGTGATATGTCACCTTTGTCCAGGCTATATGTAGTGATATGTCACCTTTGTCCAGGCTATATGTAGTGATATGTCACCTTTGTCCAGGCTATATGTAGTGATATGTCACCTTTGTCCAGGCTATATGTAGTGATATGTCACCAGGCTATATGTAGTGATATGTCACCTTTGTCCAGGCTATATGTAGTGATATGTCACCTTTGTCCAGGCTATATGTAGTGATATCGGTCTGTCCAGGCTATATGTAGTGATGTCGAGGCTATATGTAGTGATATGTCACCTTTGTCCAGGCTATATGTAGTGATATGTCACCTTTGTCCAGGCTATATGTAGTGATAGGTCACCTTTGTCCAGGCTATATGTAGTGATAGGTCACCTCTGTCGAGGCTATATGTAGTGATATGTCACCTTTGTCCAGGCTATATGTAGTGATATGTCACCTTTGTCCAGGCTATATGTAGTGATAGGTCACCTTTGTCCAGGCTATATGTAGTGATATGTCACCTTTGTCCAGGCTATATGTAGTGATATGTCACCTTTGTCCAGGCTATATGTAGTGATATGTCACCTTTGTCCAGGCTATATGTAGTGATATGTCACCTTTGTCCAGGCTATATGTAGTGATATGTCACCTTTGTCCAGGCTATATGTAGTGATATGTCACCTTTGTCCAGGCTATATGTAGTGATATGTCACCTTTGTCCAGGCTATATGTAGTGATATGTCACCTTTGTCAGGCTATATGTAGTGATATGTCACCTTTGTCCAGGCTATATGTAGTGATATGTCACCTTTGTCCAGGCTATATGTAGTGATATATCACCTTTGTCCAGGCTATATAGTGATATGTCACCTTTGTCCAGGCATGTAGTGATATGTCACCTTTGTCCAGGCTATATGTAGTGATAGGTCACCTCTGTCGAGGCTATATGTAGTGATATGTCACCTTTGTCCAGGCTATATGTAGTGATATGTCACCTTTGTCCAGGCTATATATAGTGATAGGTCACCTCTGTCCAGGCTATATGTAGTGATATGTCACCTTTGTCCAGGCTATATGTAGTGATATGTCACCTTTGTCCAGGCTATATGTAGTGATATATCACCTTTGTCCAGGCTATATGTAGTGATATATCACCTTTGTCCAGGCTATATGTAGTGATGTGTCACCTCTGTCGAGGCTATATGTAGTGATATGTCACCTTTGTCCAGGCTATATGTAGTGATATGTCACCTTTGTCCAGGCTATATGTAGTGATATGTCACCTTTGTCCAGGCTATATATAGTGATATGTCACCTTTGTCCAGGCTATATGTAGTGATATGTCACCTTTGTCCAGGCTATATGTAGTGATATATCACCTTTGTCCAGGCTATATGTAGTGATATATCACCTTTGTCCAGGCTATATGTAGTGATATATCACCTTTGTCCAGGCTATATGTAGTGACATACCATTTGCTTTCTATGCTATATTATAAGTTGTTCACTGGTGACGAGGGGACATGGGTTGATGTACCCTCTATGTTTGTTTATGTTCCCTGAGCCCAAAGGGAAAGGCGAGAGGAACATAGACAAACATAGAGGGTACATCAACCCATGGGCCCCAAGGGACCAGTAAACAATGTTTTTAACTTACCGAGCACCTCAATGTTAATTTTGAACTGTTTGAACTGGCAAATAGCCAATGCCCGCAACAGCCCAAACACTCAACCTTTCTTTTTCCGGAAAAAAACAAATTTAGAGTTATCTCCCTTCCATTGATTTGCATTCACATAACCTCGGTAATTTCCATACATCAATTGTATTCCCGGTTTTGTTGCAGGCCATCTGAGGAGGAGGTGTTTCAGCGATGTGGCGGACGCACAGCCCACAAGTAAGTACTTCACCGGGGTGCTGCAACATCCGAAGATCAGACTTCGTGCCTTGGTTGATAATATGTCATCAGATCTTCTTGGGATGGATCATTTTCAAAATTCACTGTTGTTTCTGACCCAGAGTTTGTCATTTAAATACTGTTAACAGATAGTGAGTGAGTGATTATGCTTTTATGCCACTTTCAGCAATATTTCAGCAATATCATGGTGGGACACACCAGAAATGGACTTCACACATTGTACCCATGTGGGGAATTTAACCCACGTCTTTGGTGTGACGAGCCAACACTTTAACCAGTAGACTACCCCACCTCCCCTGCACCCATGTGAGGAATTGAACCAGTGTCTTCGGTGTGACAATCTAATGCTTTACCGACTGGGCTACCCCACCGCCCAAATAACAGATCGCTCAAATACTGCTGAATTGGCAATCGTTGCAGCATTTGTGAGTGACTATTTCAGCATGCAGGTATTTGTTTCAGGGGTGCTCGCCATGGGCTGAAGCTGAATGGGAAGCTGCAGCGGGTGCAGGCGATGGAGGCACAGCTCATGCTGCAGATGACGGCCGCTCCCCAACAACCAGGCGTGGGAAGCTCAGACCTCCATGGACTGGATGCTGTACCACGGGAGAGGAAGAAGAGGAAACATGCAGAGCAAGAGACAGAATCACCAGTAGAGAACAGTATGGCACATGAAGATGTTAAGAAGAAGAAGAAGAAAAATAAGAAGAAGAGACATGAAGATGAAGAGGTTGAATCTCCTGTGCAGGAGAACCTTACAGGTAATGAGGGTGTTAAGAAGAAGAAGAGAAAGAAGGAGAGACATGTAGAGGAAGAGGTTGAATCTCCAGTAGAGGAGAACACTAGACTGAGTGAATGTGATGGGAAGGTTGGGAGACCGGTAGAGACTGGCTCTCCAGGACATGAGGACAGCCACAGTGATGGTCAGTGTCCCTCAGAGGGGAAGGTTGGGAGACCGGTAGAGACTCCAGGACATGAGGACAGCCACAGTGATGGGCAGTGTCCCTCAGAGGGAAAGAAGAAGAGAAAGAAATGTAAGAAAATCAAGGAGTCCGAAGGAGAAGAACAAGCTTGTGAATCACATCATAGTAAGAAAAAGAAGAAGAAAAAGAGGAAAAACGACTAAAGTGTGTTATCTTTGAAGTATTGTACAGGAATAATGTATAAACATATAAGGCAGTAGCTGAATGTAATTATTCAGGTAATACATATGTGTAACAATTTTGTTTGTTTCTTTGTTTAACGTCCGAATATAGTATTCCATCTGTATGGCGGCAGTAAATAATTGAGTCTGGACCAGACAATCCAGTGATCCACCTCTGATATAGGAATTTTTGGCCTCCTTTCATGTGTATCAAGTACTAACAGAGAAACACAGCCTAGGGCCATGCCTTTATTGAAACTTAGTAAAAAATATCTTTTAGGAATGGCATAATTTCAGACTGTCAACATTTGAACATTTCTAGAAGATATTGTCATGGATTGTGCCTGTCTGTTTTCAAGTGCCAGTATGGAGTTGTGCATGAAGCTGAGCTTGTGCATGAAGCTCAGATACTTTAGGAGATGTGGTCAAATGCAACATATGTTTTATCTGGGATTTGGCTTTGGTGACTACAAGAAGAGAATCACTGGCCTCCAATTCAGTTGTAATTTCACATGATCAAATATTGTTCTACTTCTCAGGTGAGCAGGATGGCACACTCTTGAGAAAGGGGGGTGGGGGCACACTTCATTTACACGAGGGTTTCAATGGTCATTTAATAACTTTCAGGACAAAAGGGGTGCACACACACACACACACACACACACACACACACACACACACACACACACACACACACGCACACTCTGGATCAGCCCGCCTAAGAGAAGTTAGACCTTTGTTGGCTTTCTAGGCTGCAGCATCGAAGTGGTCCATGTGTAAGCTTCAGCTGTGTACTATCCATGTCACAAAGTGATCCATGTGTAAGCTTCAGCTGTGTACTATCCATGTCACAAAGTGATCCATGTGTAAGCTTCAGCTGTGTACTATCCATGTCACAAAGTGATCCATGTGTAAGCTTCAGCTGTGTACTATCCATGTCACAAAGTGATCCATGTGTAAGCTTCAGCTGTGTACTATCCATGTCACAAAGTGGTCCATGTCAAGCTTCAGCTGTGTACTATCCATGTCACAAAGTGATCCATGTGTAAGCTTCAGCCGTGTACTATCCATGTCACAAAGTGATCCATGTGTAAGCTTCAGCTGTGTACTATCCATGTCACAAAGTGATCCATGTGTAAGCTTCAGCCGTGTACTGTCCATGTCACAAAGTGATCCATGTGTAAGCTTCAGCCGTGTACTATCCATGTCACAAAGTGATCCATGTGTAAGCTTCAGCCGTGTACTATCCATGTCACAAAGTGATCCATGTGTAAGCTTCAGCTGTGTACTATCCATGTCACAAAGTGATCCATGTAAGCTTCAGCTGTGTACTATCCATGTCACAAAGTGATCCATGTGTAAGCTTCAGCGTGGTGTACTGTCCATGTCACAAAGTGATCCATGTGTAAGCTTCAGCCGTGTACTATCCATGTCACAAAGTGATCCATGTGTAAGCTTCAGCCGTGTACTATCCATGTCACAAAGTGATCCATGTGTAAGCTTCAGCTGTGTACTATCCATGTCACAAAGTAAGCTTCAGCCGTGTACTATCCATGTCACAAAGTGATCCATGTGTAAGCTTCAGCCGTGTACTATCCATGTCACAAAGTGATCCATGTGTAAGCTTCAGCTGTGTACTATCCATGTCACAAAGTGATCCATGTGTAAGCTTCAGCTGTGTACTATCCATGTCACAAAGTGATCCATGTGTAAGCTTCAGCTGTGTACTATCCATGTCACAAAGTGATCCATGTGTAAGCTTCAGCTGTGTACTATCCATGTCACAAAGTGATCCATGTGTAAGCTTCAGCTGTGTACTATCCATGTCACAAAGTGATCCATGTGTAAGCTTCAGCCGTGTACTATCCATGTCACAAAGTGATCCATGTGTAAGCTTCAGCCGTGTACTATCCATGTCACAAAGATGAATCACTTACACTGCATCCAAATACTTCAGCAGCATTTCACAGTAAGGTAATGTGTCACACTGGCAGACTTTCGTCTGGAAGAGTGAGTGAGTGAGTTTAGTTTTACACCGCTTTTAGCATTATTTCAGGAATATCACGGCAGGGAACACAAGAAATGGGCTTCACACATTGTACCCATGTGGGAAATCAAACCCAGGTCTTTGGTTGACGAGTGAACACCTTAACCACTAGGCTACCCCACCGCCCTCGTCTGGAAAGAGGGAATACATGATGTTGTTGATTGTGAACAAGTTGCCTGTATTGTAACTATATACTGTACCTGCACTGTCCACCATCTGTATTCTTGGCTTGAGACACAAGGAGGAAACATTGACTCAAATCAACAAAAGCTTTGATAGTGTTCTACATGTCATACTGAAGGAAGAGTGTGGTGCAAGAGCACTGTAACGAATCCACTGACCATCCTGTAGCCAGGTGACCACAAGCAGGACAGAAAATAGGTCCAATTGAACCTTGGTGCAATGGCAGATTTTTTGACAACTAATCTTGACAGAAGGTGGTGAACGCACCCTGTCTGGTGTGGAACTAGTGAAAATTAACCTTATAGGCCATCAATTATGCTGCTCTATCAGCTCTGAGGCTTGTGATATAGAAAACAAGTCTGCATGACACCTACCAATGCTCCACTCTTCTGCATGTTCTTCTAAGACCTGTCACAGGGATTTTCAGTTCACTTCTCAGTTGGAATGACTGACTGACTGACTGAGTTTGGTTTTACGCCTCTTTTAGCAATATTCCAGCAACATCACGGAGGGGGACACCAGAAATGGGCTTCACACATAGTACCCATGTGGGGATTCGAACCCGGGTCTTCGGCGTGACGAGCCAACGCTTTAACCATTAGGCTACCCCACCGCCCCCAGTTGGAATGAAACGTGACCGAGTATTCAAAATTGTCTTTCATGTTTGTTTGTTTTATGTATAAGATGGTCTTTCTAGGTTTTGTCTGTGCCAGTTTATGATGCGGCTTGCTGACACATGTCCTCTTCTTTCAAATCAAGGGGCGGTCGGATAGCCAAGTTGTTAAAGAGTTTGCTCGACACGCTGAAGACCCGGATCAATTCCCCACATGGGCACAATGTGTGAAGCCCATTTCTGGTGTCCTCCACTGTAATATTGCTGGATTATTGCTAAAAACCGCGTAAAACTATACTCATTCACTCTTTCTAATCAAAATGGTCTGTGTTTCTGGTGCTACCGATGGTTGGAGGTTGAGAAGGTTTACATTTGGTGCCTCATTTACAAGCTGAACCTGGTTGGTTGGTGCTGTTGCAATATGGTGAATAACGCCTGTTATTATATAACGGGTAGATTTCCGCCCTGCTGATTGGCCCACTTGGTCACATGACAGCTTTGACGCTAAGTCGCGAGAGGTTGATAAAACAACCCAAGAACCTCCCTTGGCTAAAAATAGATTTGGGATATTCCAGCTGTGAACTCCGCACTGCGTGCGTCACGCTAGATAAGGAAGCGATAGGCTTCGTCCCTGTGACTGTGTTGGTTTAGAGTTACGTCCCATCTGTATCAAAATGGCTGCACCTCTGCGTCATGTGCAACGCCATCGGTGGTATGCTATGTGACAGAAGAAAAGGTATTCAGTACTTTTGTTATATAATAAAACAATTATTGACTTCAGTTCGGCTTAAATTCGGGAAATGCTTGTAGAACTGAAGAAAATGATCCTAAGACACGATAAAATGGAATGAACTTTAATATAGACGGAGTAATACAGAAACCTGAACCTTGGACAATCATCCAAGAACTGTCTTAAACCTGAACCTGAATGACACCCCCCTCTTTTATATTTACATACTTTACTGTTCTTGAGGGACGTGTCCTATGTTATCGTCATATTTTATTGCGACTGCGTGTGAGTCATATGGATTGAGGTTGTCTATATAGAGTACCTGACCTATCTTGGGACTCCATGTAAACATGAAAACTCAGTAACTAACGTGCACTACAAACGTTATATATTCTGACGTTTGCCATGTGCTGTTGCAAAAGGACGTCACTCTAAACAATAACATCTGAAATCTTATTTTAGGCCCATGGGCTTAATAACGGGAAAATATCCGGTTATTAAGCCCATGGGCGTAAGTATGAGTGGGCTTAAATACGGGAAATCCCGGTAGGTGGGAGTTCACAGAATAACCTTGTAACAACGAAAGCATAACGTGAAGTTGTTAGCTGGGAAGATCGCCTTGTGGCACAGGATCCAGATTGCTGGTTTAGCGTTTTCTCGTTGCTGCGTGGTCATGAAAATATACACACTTACCGAAGACGAATCACTTACCCCTTAGGCCATGCTTTGGAGTTGAATTCATTCATTCATTTATTTCACGCTGTACTCAATGTGAAAGCGTTTCACACCACCGTTAAGGTCGCGGGTGCTGAAAGTCTGTCCCAAGGCCGTAGTTCCTGAAATGTTATCTTTGTTCAAGTCAAGAAAGAGAAAGAGTACCAGGGCGTGTCTACATCGAAACGGAAGCTGAAGATATTAAGACGGAGTATGACAGTTTCGATCTACACCTCTTTACTGGACGGATCTAGAAAACTAAATAGTTCTAGGTATGAACAGCAGTTATCTTTTTCTTTAGTAAACGGTGATTGTTACACACACGAGTCATACAAAGCGTGTACAAGAACTTGGGTTTTCATTTCCATGCACGTGTGTTTACATCTATCCGTGTGAGACCAAGAAACTAAACATGACCGGGCAGTATGGGTCATATTCACCACACAGGCAGTAATAACATATATAATAACAACATAATAACTGTATCAGCCATTAGGAATTAACCTTTATTGCATGTAGTGTTTTACTTCACGATCAAAGAACAACTTCCCAATTACTCTGACTAATGGACCATACGATTAGTGTCAGCAGTTTGCAGCGAGTTAAAGGCGTTTGTTGTACGGACAGAAATGTCATTTTGTCCCGGTACAACTTTAGAATGTTAGTTACGAAGTACGGAATATCGGCTCCGAGTGTATGCTGTGTCGGATGTATGTGGTGTGCAGTGGCTGGTGTTAGTCATGTGATCGACCATACAGATAACAGCATTGTACCGCCATTACAGACCCTGCAGTTTGCCCCTCCCTATCGTTCGAAGCACATTTCATAACCCATGCTTGTCGTAAGAGGCGACTAACGGGATCGGGTGGTCAAGCTCGCTGACTTGGTTGACACATGTCATCATATCCCAATAGCGTAGATTGATGGTCATGCTGTTGATCACTGGATTGTCTGGTCCACACCCAATTACTTACACACCGCCGCCATATAGCTGGAATATTGCGGAGTGCGGCACTCACTCACTCATTCGCTCACTATCGTTTATTACGATACTAATCACTCACAGAGATCTCCTGTGGTTATGAACTTTGTCTGCAACACACTCGTGCTATCAGCCTTCTTCTGGGTGATAAATATGGAATCCTGGAAGGGACGTTGTTGCATGTTTGACAAATGGCCAAAATATCGTCGTCCAATGATGACACGATGTTCCTTCTTGGATTCCTTAGATTATCGTCTTGGATCGGTATCACTTTGGGCTCCTGTCACTCGTTAAGCTTGAATGACTTGATACAAGTGAAGTACTGTACAAGGGGATGTACAGCACAGTTCACACACTCGCTCCTCCTCCCTACCTCCGCGCAGTGACAACATGAACGAAAAGAACATAACCGGGGTGCAGAAAAAACAAGACCCCTCAGTTCATTTTATCGTATGTTTGATTTTAAATTCAAAATGTTGCAATTAAACGATATTACATGCAAACAGATTCACATAATGCATTATAGGAGCCCGTGATTGTCTTCAAGGATTTGTCTTCTCGCTTACATTAACATCGTGAACAGTAATTAGTTGTGTATAATAACACATGGTATTTGCCCGCTGCTCTGCATTCAGTGAATTCAACTCTTTTTCATTCTGATCCTTTGTTTTTAATGGTAGCGACAACAACGATCTTTAATGAGATTGACATATTATTTAAGGCATCTGTCAAAATTAGAAAATTAGGAGTCTAGTTTCATCTACATTGCATCATATCATAGACTGACTTACACTGTGTTGTAAAGCATCCCCTGTAAACGACAGGAGGAATTGCGCAGGGAACACCCACACCTATATATAGCCTGTGTCTCAGTCCCAGAACCAAATTATTTCCCCTACAGCCTATAGCCTTTCCTGCAATACTATAGCCTAAATGAAGGAAGTCTAAATTTCATCAAGTTCTGAATCTCTGGTCTCCTTTTCAATTTAAATGGGTTTGTTTGTTACCATCAAAATTATATATATGTAAAGAGTAAGCGTTAGTCTAGCACAACCCGTGAAGGTCCGGGTTAGAATGAACCTACAGTAACCCATGCTTGTCGTAAGAGGCGACTAACGGGATCGGGTGGTCAGGCTCGCTGACTTGGTTGACACGTCATCGGTTCCCAACATTGCGCAGATCGACGCTCATGCTGTAGATCACTGGATTATCTGGTCCAGACTCGATTATTTACAGACCGCCGCCATATAGCTGGAATATTGCTGAGTGCGGCGTAAAACTAAACTCACTTACTTACTAGTCTACCACACCCAATGCAGACATGTTTTACATTATATGTGAAAAGAAATATTTTACGGCCGCTTATTTGATTACTTGTTGTCGAGGCTACTGATAGAGGTGACATCAACTGTCATTGAAGGAAACCGTATATTTTGTACGTATGTATGGGGTGGGGCGTGTCATTAGTGCAGACATAACAACGTTGGTACAGGTGACGTAACCAAATAATTAGGATAAGGTATGACAGGCGTGTGTGTCTTTGCGAACGTTTATAGTAACTTTCGACGCGTCAGGTGTCCCGGATAATCTCTCCCGATCTTATGTTACCTGTATGAGTGTTTTCCACTCTTGACAAGCAACTTTCATCATACGTTCAAGAGATACTGATAATCCATAGTTCAGAGTTGAGTAACCATATCTGATTGTTCCTTTTGCCAAGTTTATTCTGAGAACATGTGGAAAAATGTTGGCCGCGGAAGGGTGCAGGGGAGATAAATCAGCCATTCTTCCCATGTCACCCAACAAGTTAGATCGGACACGTAGGTAGAGATACTGAGACAGTGATGTGGACTTATCAGTTTAATATCAAGCATAGATGTGTGAATTAACGTTTTAACAAGGAAAGATACACTGGAATGTATTGTTCATAATCCATAAAATCAAATTCAAAGAAAATACATAAATATTTCGTTTGACAAATATGACTGGCTGTTGGGAAATAATAAGCGCATTCACATCATCTCAACCGTGTGTACTACAGGCTGCTTTTATACCAGGGACCCCATCCACAAAGCATTCGTAGGGCTACGACATTCCTATGATAAACTATATAGAGTTTCGACAGGTCGTAACGTTACGAACGCTTTGTGGGTGGAGACCCAGAAGCATTGTGGATACATACCGTAGACGTTGCATCTAAATGAGGCGACATCCTTTAGGAATGTTTAGAGTTAAGAATTCGTCGAGCGAGATACCCCCTTGAATTACAGCCCCGTTCGGGCGATCGCAACAATTATATGTACAGCGCTTGCTTGGTGATTCTATCGAAAGCTGCTCACTGACGGGGTAATATCTGACTGGTTTAATTATAATTGTGGGCAGACTGATTGACATCTTTTCAAAGATAACGGAACTGTATATTTATTTATGCATATATAACGCATACAGACTAAAAATTAGACTTACGCTTAGTCTCTGAATATATGATTTTGATTGTAACAATTAGATAAACCCATTTAAATTGAAAAGAAGCCCCAGGGAGACCAGAGATTCAGAACCTGGGGAAATCTAGACTTGCTTCATTTAGGGCTTTGGCATTGCAGGGAGGGCTAGGCTGTGTGGAACATAATATGGTTCAGGGACTGTGAGACAGACTAACTAAAAATATAAAATATTTATTGATGGAGGCTGGCATAGTTTGCTCCACGCGATCTTGACAAGGATATGGACATCGTGTATGTTTGCAATGGTGCGTGAATCTGGTATGGTTTCACGTGACTGGTGCGTCGTTAACCCAGTTACTATAGTCTATAGCTATTAATGATTTCATTTAAATAAGGAAGGCTACTAATTAAACTGACTACATGTATTAATTATTAAAAAATAAAAATATCTATAAACTACGCGGTCACTGTGAGTTTAAAAATGCAAGGAGTCGGTTTTAAATGAGTATTAGAAATAGAATTTAAACCATCATACATGCATACGGCACCCTTTGGTCACTGTATATAAGTGATTTATAAATCGGTTTTATTTCAGCAATATATATAGCGACGAGGTCACTGGCAGTGATTTATCAATGTTACCAGGCACCATATCTTGATACATGTTCTCCGGTGTTACAAATAAAATACTAGATCTATATAAGTTTACCCGTTCACATCCAGCAGAGACCATATACCGATACATGGTCTCTGCATCCAGTAACACAAATCTATACACGCTCGCTTGAATCTTTGATGCGGAAACGGTTTCGCTACATCTATTGACCTTGATCGCGTAATATTATATACTACTTCCGGTACAAAACGAAGCCAACGAAATGTACGGACTATGAAACATCATATTTGATAACGCATCTGCTGTTACAGGCGGAAAGTACATCGATCCTGTACAGCTCCTCGCACTCGGCACTGAAACAGTCACTAGCCATTGGACCGTGAAAAACCCGTGACCTCATTAGCATACTGACGAAAACATCATGGCCGATTGAGGCGGTGAAAGGCAGCCCGTCTGGAGTTTTATTCTCTGTTTTAATGAAATAGCGGCCGGTTTAAATCCCTCTGACAACCCAGAATGGTTTTCGAATCTCTTGTTGTGGAACTTATTAACAAGTTCGTTGGAGATTATGTGGAGAACTTGGATGCATCGCAACTCAAGTTGGGCATTTGGGGCGGTAAGTTTTCTAGTTTTACTGTGTAAGCTTTTAGGCCTACCGATCATGCCCATGTCTTATGACTTTGCGCGTGATATTGAATCAGTCTGAGCTCAAGTGGAATTTGCGTGGGCTGACGAACCCGTACCGCTATATATGACACATATGGATATATTTATGTTTTCAGAGGGGCGTCACCGTCGATAATGCACAACTGTTAACTAAAGAAATGCACGTTCAGTGAGCCGGCTCACTCACGTGTGCGCGCTTTGACTGACAGTTTCCTCGCGTATGATCACTTCCTGGAATTAAAAGAATGGTCCAGACTTGCACATTTATCAGAACCTTAGCTACCGTTTTTTATATGTGGATCAGCACCTAATGACGATATGCGTTAGTTGGTAATTAAAGTGAATGTACATTTCATTGTGAGAGACAGCTTTGTTCTGAAGCTGCATCCGTTGAAGATCGATATAGCAGCATCGGTCACGTGACACGGAATATGTCTAGTTATATGGATATTAGAAGTGGTTGTGACGACTTTGATCTTGTGTATATTTTGCTATTTGCGTTTTTATACATATTCCACATGTGCCCATCCATTGAAATGCTACGACACATAGCTCTTTAAATTCATTGTCATTCCTGCTCTGTTGGTGATGTCACTCGCGACCTTTCCTATGTATATAATACTTAAATACTAGTATCATCTATGTTCTCTACAGTAAGGACGAAAGTCAAGGTTAAAATGTATTTGTTTCTCAATTAAAGCAAATGTTAGTATTAATTTTAATAAGGAAATCGCAGGATATATGGTTGGTACAGTGACAGAAATAGGCAGCCTGATTAAAGAGGGCCACTTGGTACACTGCAAGGCACTGCATCAATAATGTGCACTGTTGTCCCTGCTAATATGACATTCCTTAGTCAGTCTTCCACAGTCTGTACCAATATGTTAGGGTCTAAAAACAGCTCTTCTCTCTTTTCCTAATTAGAAGTACAGTTATTAGCTTACCAGGCCAAAGAGAATTATTCTTAACTTTGGAGTTGTGACAGAAAGTCACAGACTGTGCTGTAGCTGGAATATTGCCGAAAACAGAGAAACTTACGTTCAGTCACTGTATTTCTCAGTATGCTTGGTCGTTGGTTAATAGGGGTGTTTAAGTTTCTGCAGGACATCTGGAGTTATTCAACTGTTTATTATGCTGTTATACACATTACATAAGCTGAGGTACTGCAGTTTCAGGGAATGCCAAATGTTTTCCATTCACTGTTGCTATGTAATATTTTGCATAATCATTGACACATTGATTTTGTTTCTTGATGGCTTCTGCAAGATGCTGCAGATAGGTATTGATTTGAGGCAGGCATACTGTCACTGTGCTGCACACTCAGCTGGCCTAACGTACTGTTGGAAATGCTAGAAAAATGCTTTTTAGCCTTAATATCTTTAGAAAGGTGATAAATGTATTATGTTGTCAATATATCAACTCACCTATAGTGTACCTAATTTTTATTTCAATTGATTTAACATTCCCATGCATGTAAAGGGCAGTTTACAGGAGAGTTTGGTACCAAAACAACAACTTAAGATTTTTGTTTTGAGATCTGAAATAGTCTTTACATTTATGCTAATAATACAGGTGGTGTAAAAATATATATTAACGTTTTTCTTAAACAAATAAATGTTGAATGTTTGTGTTACTTTACTTAATTATCGTTTCTTTATTGAAGAAATATTAATATTAATGTTAAGTCTTGATAACTAAGTTTCCCATCATGCATGCACATCTTTATCACAGTGTCCACTATGGCCAACTATTTGCAGACGATTGTTGCAAAGGTTTATAAGTTTTTTGTGCTTGAAAAAGACAGTGGTAAACCTTTCATTATTATAGAAATGGTTTATTACAGAACTTGTAGAGCTGTTGGTATGTCTTATTTAAAAGTTTACAATATTGTAAACAAATCAGACAAGACAGGGACCGTCTCAAAAGCAAAACCGGGACGTAAAACCACCTGTGTGATGGTGTGACTCACTGCCTTAGCATGTGTGTCACCTGTGTGGTGTGACTCACTGCCTTAGCATGTGTGTCACCTATGTGTTGTGACTCACTGCTTTAGCTTTGGTCAACTGTTTTATGTTAATCTGTGTGCGATGCAGTGGATCAAACTATGGTGTGGATCAACTAACTATGCTGTGCAGTGCAGTACCACTGCTCTCTATGCTCTGTTTGTGTTGTGTCACCTGTGATGATTTCCTGCGTGGTTACGGCTGATTGGTTGATGAAGCTGGTTTCTGTGTATGTGTCAGGGTGGATGGGGGAGGCTGACTGCAGCAGCAGCTGTTGAAATCTTATAAATACCACCGCTACAAGCCTGACCTGACTCAGCAGACATATGTGACGTTGTTGTGATCACCATAGACAGATGGTTGTACGTCTAGCATGCAAATATTGCCATTGTCCTTGGATCAACATGAAGCCATGCGTGACCAACGGACAGTGAGACAATTCACTCATCCAGTTTCTTCAAAACAAAGCATCAATTTCTTTCAATGTGTATTTATCAGATACATATTTGTTTGAAAATTATCTCATTTTAAACACGTCAAAGTCTCTAACTTACATATTGTATTGAATATTGAAAAAGTAGGAGTTATTCGAACACATGTATTGATTCAGCTAATGTAACCATTGTTCAGAACAAAAGAGACAAGTACTGTTAGACATGCTTGATGCAGAGTTCTTCTATGAGTATGTATGAGGGACGTTTTTATGACTTCCAAGAATTATGTTGTGCAGGCTTGTGTGGTTGTGCAGGCTTGTGTGGTTGTGCAGTATTGTGTGGTTGTGCAGGCTTGTGTGGTTGTGCAGTATTGTGTGGTTGTGCAGGATTGTGTGGTTGTGCAGGCTTGTGTGGTGCAGGATTGTGTGGTGCAGGATTGTGTTGTGCAGGCTTGTGTGGTTGTGCAGGTTTGTGTGGTTGTGCAGGTTTGTGTGTTTGTGCAGGATTGTGTGGTTGTGCAGGCTTGTGTGGTTGTGCAGGTTTGTGTGGTTGTGCAGGATTGTGTTGTGCAGGATTGTGTGGTTGTGCAGGATTGTGTGGTTGGTTGTGCAGGATTGTGTGGTTGTGCAGGATTGTGTTGTGCAGGCTTGTGTTGTGCAGGCTTGTGTTGTGCAGGCTTGTGTTGTGCAGGATTGTGTTGTGCAGGCTTGTGAACTTTTGAACATCTCAAATTGAGATATGGAAAATGGAATATATCCAAGCCAGGCAGGATGATATAATTTGACAGTAATGTGTCACTAGTCATTGTTGTGATAAATTAACTCTGTCAGCAATATGCCAGATAATGTTTTGTTATTGTTTCATGAAATATATGGACTAACAGTAATACATCAACTGCTGACTTGCTTATGGTATTAGTTACCTAATATTCATGATATCTGTCATATTCGCCTAATGGTGAATTTGTTGCTGTGCTACCTCAACTTATAAATTATACAGAAATGTAGGACATTACATTTACTATCTGAGGGTTGAAAGTCAAATGCAAATATTCAACTAGTTTAAAAAAACAGACACTACGAAGAGTTATACGATATAGCATAATATGAATAACTTATGGTGCCCATATGGCTGCTCACACAGCTCGAGGTTTATCTGAACTAGAGTGACAAGTATACACTGACATGGGAAAGTAACTGGGCTTCCTGTGTGATGTGAATATGTCTGATATTGATAACAACAACCGATACTTGGTCAGTTGTCTCGTAAGTGTTTTATAACAAAACATTCACTGACAAAACTGTGCCTGTAACATGAGACTGAGACATGTGCCAGTGTATAGGGCTTGCAACACTATCAGGCCAGTATGACTTGTTTCTTGAATACTTGGTTTAATATCTAGGAATTAATGTAACCATCATGTCATGTAATTGCTTAGGTTGAAAGATTTACATGGCATTTTCGTGTTAAGCAAAAAAACCCAATACATTGTGACAATGCCACTTATAGCCGAATGCCAGTACTATAAGGGGTTTTGGCAAAATGACCCAAGTTACACTATTGTATGGCTTGTATATATTTCATTTTCATATCTCCTTTTCATAAATAGCAAAACACTCTTTGCAAGACAATTTGTAAGTCATCTATTGGTACAGAAGAGGCAGCAGGAGTGCATTGAAACCAACCTAGAGTACCGTGTTCTGAATGTCAACTATCCATTGTCATAACTGGACTGGCATGACCTGGTTATGTGGACCAGGGCCAGGCTCCACCACATGGCTACAGTAATGGCAAGTCCATGTTTATGTATGGCACCTACAATCACTGGTTTGTGGAACAGGGTCGTGGTCCATCTCACTCCAGACACGTTCTGTACTGGAGTGATCTGGATCAACAGTTGGCCATGGAAGTGTTAAGTTTCTTGAGTGAGTTAGTTTTATGCTGCTTTTAGTTTTAGCAATATTCCAGCAATATCACGGCAGTTAACGCCTGAAATGAGCTTCAAACATTGTAGCCATGTGGGGAATCGAACCCGGGTTTTCAGCGTGACGAGCGAACGCTTTAACCACTAGGGTACCCCACCACCCTAAGTTTCTTGAAAGTGTCTGCTATAACATATGCAACATGTGGGCGGACATTATCCTAATGGAACATGACGTTATGTCCCTGTAGCAGTTGCACAGAACAGGAACACAAATGGTGTCATCCCTGGGATGTATGTCGTTTCAAATGATGAGTTGTGATTCCATCCAATGCCATGTTTCAACATTGAGTAATGCAAAAGTGTCCTCCTCGATCAATGTCCAGATGAAGGTCATCTGTAAACAACTCCTGAACATCAGATGCTGTCTACACCCAGTGCCTGATAGGATCACTGTCCAGATGAAAGTCATCTGTGAACAACTCCTGAACATCAGATGCTGTCTACACCCTGTGCCTGATAGGATCACTGTCCAGATGAAGGTCATCTGTGAACAACTCCTGAACATCAGATGCTGTCTACACCCAGTGCC